TATATTATTATATACTACGCGCGCGCACACACACACACAATATATATATATATATATATATATATACATATACATATACATAATATATATATATATATATATATGAGATGTGAGCTACAACTCATATTTCTGATATAACTCACCTCAGATACAACTCACATCTCAGATATGGCTCACATCTCAGATACAATTCACTCTCAGATACATCTCACATCTCAGTTAAAACTCAATTTTAACCTACAGGTCGCGTTTGAGATACACTTACCTGCATCCATGTACGGCATGATCATCCAGAACTCCGTTCCGTTGAGAAAGTAGGCGTGGCACCTCCTGATGTTGGGGCTATTCAATGTCTGGGAGCACCACATCTCATTCTGCACATAAAGTTCGGCACATGAGCATCTGCATCAATATCTATTTCTTCCACACTCGAGTGCATATAGGAGATGGGACATCGCATTTGGCTTAATGGTTTGCCTCGAATACAATATTTTTGAGCGAGATACGAGGAGGTCGCAGACAACCCACACAAAATACCAATTTACCATACAGTCGGTGTGCTGGGAGTGTTCTGGCTGTCCAGTTCGTCATATAAACGTATTGAAATATACAGCGCTGATCATACACCCACCAGACCTGATTTAAACGTATTTGCCACACAGACTCGTTTCCTTGGCAACGCGCCATGCCAATTGGAGTTTCTTTCAGAATCACCATCGCAACTCACTGCAGCATTGCTTTCTATATCACTTGCTGGCTGGATTTATATTCCGTATTCATCATTATCCCACCAGTTTTACTATGGGTACATTTAATTGGTGCTAATACTTGGTATGCCTTTAGCTCCAGTGTACGCACCCTCAGTAGGGTTTACATACCCTCAGTAGGGTTTACATATCCTCAGTGGAGTGTACATATCCTCAGCAGAGTTTACATACACTCAGTAAGGTTTACATACCCTCGGTAGGATTTACATACCTTCAGTAGAGTTTACATACCCTCAGAGGGTTTGCATAATCTCAGTAAGGATTACATACCTCAGTGGGTTTACATACCCTCAGTAGAGTTTAAATACCCTCAGTAGGGTTTACATACCCTCAGTAAGAATTACGCACCCTCAGTAGGGTTTACATATCCTCAGTAGGGTTTACGTACCTTACATATCTCCAATTGGTGTGGGAACTGTTCCAGATTCACACGCTTCACGGCGACCTTTGTGTTCTCGGGTTTGTAGTTGGCCACGTAGACCGTCGGCTGATCGTGACTGTCATTGCCTGAAGATAAGACCACGTTTTAGAACCCTTAAAACCCTAAAAACTCTACAAACCCCAAAAAAGGCACAGGTATGTATTCGTATGTGGTTCTGGGATGCTACCACATATATGGGTCTATGAGGGAACGATGCACTTCACCTTTCTGTCTCACACCACACATGAGAGGTATATGCTGGTAAAACGAGCGCATGTCAGTATCACTACCTCACTTGTATTGTAATGTATGTACATCGGTCACTCGCAGTACACTAAGCATACTTCACTTATATTGTACTGTAGGTACATAGATCACTCGCAGTACACTAAGCTTACCTCACTTATATTGTCCTGTAGGTACATAGATCACTCGCACTACACTAAGCGTACCTCACATATATTGTACTGTAGGTACATAGATCACTCGCACTACACTAAGCGTACCTCACTTATATTGTACTGTAGGTACATAGGTCACTCGCAGTACACTAAGCTTACCTCACATATATTGTACTGTAGGTACATAGATCACTCGCACTACACTAACGACACGTCGGTGAACTGTATTTCATATGAAGTATGTATGTTCTATATCCGAGTTAAAGTACGTATACAGATATGTGTATAAACGTATATTAACGCACGTATATATGGATATGTTGCGTACTATGTATGTACTAACAAGTGCACATGTGCCGACAGAACTACAGAAGAGCTACTGGCACCCGCTGGGCTTCGTAACATGTTGTATACAAATCGAACGTGTTCGCTATACGTTTTGATATACAGAACCAAAAAGAAACAATATGGACCGGTGACAGTGCGCTCTATATACGTGGACTACGCAATATGACCCGACACAGGTTTAACTGTATAATGAAAACTTTAACTGTATAATGAAAACGGTCGTTTATACATAGTAGGCTACAGTCACAGTGCATTTGAATACGCCGAAGTAAAGGCCTATCGCCCGATCAGTTGATAAAAGCGTTTGTCTCCGCAACCAGGCAACTATGACAGTCACTATGTATATGTACGTCTATACCGGTAGTCATACGTGTAGAAACCGCCACATTCCCTTGAAATACTTTCCCTAAATCATAAACCCAAGTTCACACCTATCATCCCCACCAGTAGTTCTAGACCAACTCAATACCAATACGAATGCGAATGTGTTAAACAAATAATTCCTTCTGCATCCTAATATATCCTCGACATATGGAAACAGACGCTTTGCCCCTGAATACGGTTAGTACATACCTATCACCCCCTACTAGCGGCATCCTACATTCTCAACATCTGATAACAGACCATTTACATACGATTGACCCCTGAATTCTAGCTAGTACATACCTATCACCCCTTCTAGCTGCATCCTAATACATTCTCAACATCTGGTAACAGACCATTTACATACAATTGACCCCTGAATTCCATATTGCCCCTATTAGCTGCATCACAATACATTCTCAACATTTGGAAATGTATCATATACAAGCAATAGACCCCTAAGTGCTAGTCAGTACATACCTATTACCCCTAGCAGCTCGTAGTGCTCTGCACCAATTTTGTACCGGATTTGGGACGAAGCCCCGACGGACTTGTGTCTCCTCTGTGTGGATTTAAACCCATAGCGTACGTATAGAACAAATTTATGAGGTTACGAGGCTAATGACCTTATTGTCGGCATATGAGTAAGGCTTGGTATGCATAATCAGATTGTTTCGATATCTGATAAAA